ACCAGTAAATCAGTAATAGGGTGAATTCATCTCATATAACAAATGTATTCACTTGAAATAATTGTTCATAGGATCCTATTAACGAAGTTAGACTTTTTATTTTGAGTCGTAACGTAGCCAGAAGGAATCAGGATGCTTTATGCTAAGTTGGCGTCTACGGGAGCGTTGTTCGAGAGCCAAACTACTGTCTTTAGACTTTTATAAATCTGCCTAGATGTGAGACCTAAGAGGTCGTGGCCTCTAATGTAGTCACTTCCCTCTTCAAATTTGCACACACATACTCTTTCATACATACATATGTACATGCAGGCATACATATATATATATATATATATACATACGCATATATGCATGCATGTCGGTTCATGTTTTAATATTTATTTATACATTAGCTATTACAATAGTTAACTATGCTATTATTTTGATTTTTCTTCATTACCCTCTTGGGACTGTTCATCTTAAAGCTAATAAGGGGCATTTATTTTACTATTTTGAGTAAATACGTAGTTATTCGGAACGTATGACAAAGGGAATCTTTGATTTGATAAAATGGTTTTCTTTTTTTAATGATTGTCTTTGAATCAATTTTTTGTTTAAGATGTCCCCAGTTTTCCATCACTCTTCACCCAACCATTAGTCATTCTTTAACGAGCTTTGGTCTGAAGAGCTGCAGACAACTTTCCATCGTTTTTGGTGTAATTTATATCGAGAAGGATTAAAATAAGGTTTGTGATCACTTCTATTACAATAAGATTTAATGCTGAATGTGGGCCTCATTCGAAACGAGCTCTTCAGGAATAATTTATTCTTGTTAGATTCATAGGGATCCAGGATCTCACTCCACTTCATAAATCTTCAAAAAGGCTAAATTCTGGACGTAAATGTAGAGTAGCATTTACTTAAAAAGACGGAAACTTAATTCGATGTAATCCATTTAAAAGGTTGTCACTTTAGGTTTGTGGTGGTCCAAGTCTTGATTATTGAAAAAAATGAGGATAGCGTTCCTTTTTCTTCGTATCTGGTTTCCCACTCGGTCAACCAAATTGACTCAATATGCTGATAATTCTGATACGAATTACTCACGTAAGCTATGCATT